TTCTTAGCCTTTGTTCCTCTTCCTTTGGATCCATCTTTTCTGGTGGCGGTGGAGGAGCTCGAGTGGTGACAGCAGCACCAGGCAATCTGTGGTTTGACAGGCTCAACATTTCCTTTCTTAGCCTTTGTTCCTCTTCCTTTGGATCCATCTTTTTTGGTGGGGGTGGAGGAGCTCGAGTGGTGACAGCAGCACCAGGCAAGCTGTGGTTTGACAGGCTCAACATTTCCTTTCTTAGCCTTTGTTCTTCTCCCTTTGGATCCATAGTGGACTGTGGGGCTGGAGGAGGCGTCTTGGTGGCAGTCGAAGGAGCCGTGGCGGTGGTTCCAGGCACAGCTGGACGGCCGTGCCCCAAGACTTGTAGCTGATGCTGATTGGCCCTGTTCATTTCTTGTCGAAGGAGCCGTTCCTCTGCGTCCTCTCGGAGAGTCACTGCTTCTGGATCGGATTGGGCGTTGATTCCTTGTTCCGATACCGGATCGGACTTCTTCATGTTAACGTCGCCACAAAGCCACAAACTTGTTGAAATTGAGCAGCATTCGGCAGGTAGCCTCTTGAAGCAGTTAGATGAACTAAACCCACTCTCTACTCTGCTCTACTCTACTCTACCCTACTCTACTCGAGTGACAGTTCTACTCGAGTACTCGAGCACTCCAGGGTGCTGAGTGCAACTACTGGCTAGCTGCTGCAGGATCTTGCAATAATGTTGCGGTCAGAGACTGTCTCTTCCGCCACGGTACAATTATGGTTATTGCCAGTTATTGGCTTACTTGTATTTGGTGCGGCAAAGCGACAAATAAATCATAAAACAAAGGTGCATTTATTGTATTAAATGATGTTTCTTCTTGGACCATAAACCGTGGGACCATAAATCATCCGTTCGCAAGTTGTAAAGAAAGCTCGAGGACCCTTAAATCAGCGAACTTCGGTGAAGTCGGAATTAATTGTAGAAAGAAGAAAGACCTTCTTAACAGAAGTACAACTTAACTTTAACTGAGTGGGTCCCCCTCTCCGAAAGTCTCTTCTGGTCATTCTGAGGAGCTGGATTTGGAAGACTTGTGATAGTTATATACTCGTACACTCGTACCGCGTGCACAGCTATGCATAGCTGGAGTGCCACAAGTAGTACTCAACAGCTCATAACATACCGTATAGCTCATGTACCGTATGTAGTATGCAAAGATGCAAAGCTATGCATACGAACCGTGCCACATGTAGAAGTACGATGTACCACTAGTGCGTTGCAAGAGCTGTTGCAAGCTTCCTTGCAACGTTATTGAGCTCGTTATTGTCAATGGTCAGAGCGTCAGAGCCACTGACTGTCTCTTGAAGGGCTAGCGTGGCTAGCTAGAGCAAGAGTAACCAGGGAGACTTTCAGGTAACAAAATTAATGCTGTTCCACTCCTAGTATCATAGTGGACAAGACCATACCACTAAATCGCTGAATGGGACCATAAACCAAAAACCATCCTGGGACCCATAATCATGGAACCAGAGAAATCAAAGACACAAAAGGACCCGTGAAATCGGAAACTGGTGCAGGCCTACCGGTAGGTGGAAAGACATACAACATACATCATACAACCCGTACCGGTATGTGTATCAAAAGAGCGAATTCCTTCCCGCGAAAGTCTCTTTTTTACAGCGTCAACTCCACGATGTCATCTTTTCCACGCCGTGGTCGGCATTGGCTTTGACGGACGACAGCAAGACTGCCGAACTTCCTTACCAAACACCCAATCTCCAAGCCAAAGCAAGAAAGTAAGAAAGAGCCAATGATGAGTAGTGTTACTACTACTACTTCAACAGAGTTGTCTACCAGCAGTATTACTGCTGGTGTGACGCGGATCCAAGATGTGGATGGCTATGTGGGCACCGTCGTGTATGTGGGACCTGTTGCCAGTGCCAAAGATCCGACCGAGCACTATGCGGGTGTGATTTGGGACGATCCCTCACGAGGAAAGCACGATGGCAGTGTCGTGTGTCGACGGACCAATGAGTTGGTACGCCACTTTTCCTGTGCGCATCCGTGTGGTGCCTCCTTTTTGCGACTGTCCAAACTCAATTTGGGAGTCGCGTTGAATGCCGCATTGCTGCGGAGCAAATATGTGACGACCGACTCGGACGAATTGGTGGCGCCCAATAATTTACTGCAGCACACGGCACGGACAGCACAAGGTCATGAAAAGCCGATTGAATTTTACGGCGAACTCAAGATTCGATCGCACCAGCAACTGGAAGATTTGCAGACCATTTCCTTGCGACGCATGGGCATTGCTCATGTCGAACAGTCGAAGGAATGGCAAGAATTCCAGCATTTGACGGCCTTGGATTTGACGGGCAATCTACTTTCGGATTGGGACACGGTACTCGACATTCTCCAGCAGTTTCCCAATTTGACTGACTTGAATGTCGCCGCCAATCGCATTCGGGATCCATCAAAAGAAACAATCGAACAAGCAATCGAACAGCAATATTGTCAGCAAGCCCCATTTTCCGCCCTGGCCAACCTGAATCTCAATCATTGTGGGATCGAATCCGTCCAAACTCTGTTATGGATTGGAAGACTATTGCCACAACTGCAACAGCTCTGCATGGCGCATGCCAATTTGGGCGAGTTGGACGCGGAAACAGGCAGACAGGCGGCAGACACCTTTGAGCACTTGACCCAACTCGACTTGACCAATTGTCACTTGACATCCTGGAGCAAGCAGGTGGTTCCCTTGTGCTCGACGCTTTCCTGTTTGCAGCTATTGATTCTAGATGACAATCCAATCGATACTACCAATACCACTACAGAACAACACACTGATGAAACTGAAACGACAACCAACTACTTTTCCCAACTAGAATCCTTGCATCTCGCCGGCACACAAATTGCCACATGGCAAGATTTGGACGGACTCTTGCAATTTCCAAAATTGACGTCGTTACGATTCCGCCGATGTCCGTTATTGGAGAGTATGGGGACGGGAGAAGCCAGAGCCATTGCCATTGCCCGACTTGGTCCCAACAGTACCAAACTCAATGCGTCCGTCATTAGCCCCAAAGAACGACACGACGCCGAAAAGCGATATGTTTCCTCGGTGGCGTCTCAATTATTGTCGCTCGATGCCAGTGCCCGCGACCAATTTGTGCAGCAGTACCACAAGGCATTCCCCCAACTTTTGGAACAGTACAAGGATATCATTGTTTCTGCTGCTACTGCACATTCGCCGGGCGACGACGAGTCACCACGGTCCGTGGCAGCAACTTCTACATCGATGGTGGTCAATGTCAGTATCCAATCCATGGCCGCTTCCAGTTGTCATCAAGAACCCATGGTACGACGACTTCCAGGAAGTTTACCCATTAAACGAATCAAGGCCATGTGTGCCAGAACCTTTGGATTGGATCCAGATTTGCAACGATTGCACTTTTGTACCGAGGTATGTAATGTGGCGTTTGCTCAAGAAGTATTTGGAGACTAGAAAATCTCACAATGTATCCTTGTTGCATGCACATATACGTATAGTTTGACGCCTTTCCGACAGAACTCGACGATGACGAACATACTCTGGCATATTACGGGGTGAGTGATGGGGCCACCATCTTTATGAATGAAATTGATCTAGACGCAATTAAACGGCAGCAGGAAAAGGTCAAGCAGGAGCAACTATCCAATTTGGAACGGCAAGAAGCGCTCGAGGTGCAAAAGCAACAGCACAAACAGCAATTGCTGCAAAAACATTAATAACTAGTGTAGTGTGGTTGCTAACTCAAGGTATCAGTAGACACGAACTGACTCTTGCTACGATAGGAAGTTGCCATGCGTGGTCGTTCATTGTTCGTCGTCAACGTACGCCTGCTTCGTGCGCTGGCTATCCTTCGTTTTCGACACATTCAAACCTCGCTCATTTAGGGTGCAATACAACGTGCGGTATGCCGTTCCTGTCTCGTCCAGTCGAAGCCTTACTACGATTGATGAGTTCAACCTTGGAATCATTCAATCGTGTCGAGCCCGCTTCGGCGCCACGGTGTCAACCGCCAGCGTGGAACACATCGAAACGAAACAAGTTGCAACAGAAAGGAGAGAGGAACATTGGATGCTGCGAAGCGTCCACAAACCGAGTAGAGGGTGTATTGTCAAAGGAAAGCAATCCATCATGACCAAAGCTTCCTCGCCTACCACGAAAAAGAAGGAAAAGACCGCAGCGAAAGGTGGCAAAACCACCGCCAAAGATTCTGCTGCGAAGAAGTCCAAAGCTACTTCCAAGAACGAACTACTGGGTGTGATTGCGCAACTTGGCCTGATGCATGACGGCAAACCGCCGCGAGATTTGGTGGCCCGTCGTGCTGGTTACGGGAGCGGCGACAACCCTTCTTTCAAGAAAGCCTTGTTGCGTGCATCGAAACGAGATCACGTGGACCTTTCGGACAAGTTGGTCGTCTCTCTCACTGAAAAGGGTCAGCAGGAGGCCGGCGACCCACCCGAATTGCCGACCAACAAGGCTGCTCAAGAGAAGATCCTCGAGGAACTCACCGCGAAAATGAAGACGGCCTTTGAACTTATGCGCGATGGGAAAGTTCATCTTCGCACCGATCTGGCGGAAAAGCTAGGGTACGATAGCGCCAAGGAGCAAGGTTTCAAGAAACTCCTGGACCGGATTCGACTGAAAGGGTACCTCGAGGCTGTCGACAAGGACTCGGTTCAGCTTTCGGATCTTTGCTTTCCAAACGGGCGTCACGCGGAGTAAAGGCAGGGGCCCTTTTCTGGCCGATTGGTCATGCTAATTGTCAGAAGTGCTGGAGAGCAGCCGGATATCAAGCGGACGAGCTTATCACTCCTAAAGTAAACAATATTATGAAACATACCCTACTAGTATTTGCATATGAAATTATGTACCTTTGATAGCTACAGGTATCTGCACACAAGAACAGACACCGTTTCAAAACTCCGGATTCGATTCAATCATTCGATGTCTTAAGCAAGCAGGATCCAAAGAGACGCCACCAATCCAACCACAGTGGTGACTCCAGCCCTCAAGCGAGGAGAGCTTGATTCAATCCACCCCACTCTGAACTCTTCAACTTGCTCCAATAGTGTACGCGGATGAGCCGAAGCAAAGTCTTTCGTTGAATCCACTCCGCAACCCCTGTTGAATGAGATAGGTGATCGAGCTCGAGTTAGACTTGAAAGCTCACGGTAAAAACGATGGAATCATTCGCGCGGTCGATCCCTTTCAAACTTACAGATAGATGACAGATTGCCCCGGAGGAGATGGGTGGCTGTAGTAAGTAAGATCGTATACGTCGTCGTAGTACCTCACGTAGCATGAGCCGGGATTGTTATGAGCAGCAACTTCGTCCATCGTCAAAGCCTGTGGCTCCCGGTTTGGAGGTTCAGTATCAGGCGTCAAAACAATGGTGGATGTGTCCAGATCTCCAATGTAATCAACTTTCACGAGCACAAGGAGAGATCGTTCATGGAAGATTTCGTAGTCCTTAGTCCCATCCTCTCCACAGTTGTTTGTGACCTATGTTTCATCCAATGCAGACACCATTTCCGTTAGTCTCGGCGTTTCGGTTTTGATGGCACAAGTCCAAAAAGCTGCACTTACCGTTTCGCTACCGGGAGGGTGCAAAGGGGCATACCTCTGTTGGGATCCAAGAAGAGAAGATTGTGTCAGAGGTGTCATGATCAAGGCGGATGAAGGGGAAGGAGCAAAAGGACTTACTGTCATGTCGTAGACTTCATCGAAATACGAGACCCAGCAGTCGTCTGGGGTTGAGTGTTGCTGCAGGGCCATGAAATGCACCTTTCCGTTCTCCAGGATGGGGATATCAGCTGCTCCTGGCGACTCGGGGACTGAAGGGTTGGATTCGGACGCAGTGGATCCAGTCTCCTCGCCAGACTGCTCGACTGTAGCCTCAGGTTGTGGCTCATCCGTCAGCATTCCCTTGAAATACTGTCGGATTGACTCAAGCTCGCTATAGTCGTGGAAGAGCGAATAGGATTCAGTATCATCGTGTCCACAGTTGGATGTGACGAGGCTGGCACCAGCGGGGTGCTGTGGGGCGTATTCGGTCACATCAAAGACTAGAGTAGGCAGCAAGAAGAAGTGTTAGCTTTCAGCTCTTTTCGCATTTGCCACCTAATGTAGTTTCAACTGCTCAACCGATGACTCACCTTCCCCAAAGTATGCCACCCAACAGTCATCCACCGAGTTGTGTGATCGCATTTCTTGTACCGATACCAGGGCACCGTTGGTGTTTGGAGGAGCCGTTTGGGGTTGTTGTTGCATGTACCCTTCGTCGCTGTCACTATGACCGCCGGAATCGTACATTACCGTGGAAACGACCGGCGGTTGCGTTGGCCTATTGGTTAACCCTGGACCAGCCGAGCTCGAAGCCCCATCTGAGATGCTACCCAAGAAGTGGGTACGGATCATTTCTAGATAGCCAATTTCATGAAACACAGAAAAGGAAGTCGTTCCGTCTCCGCCGCAATCAGCGGTCACCACGGAGGCCCCACTGGGATGTGTGGGAGCATACGTGGTGACATCAAAAACCTCGGAGTGATAGATCACCCAGCAATCGTCAGGTGTATTGTGTTTCGCCAGTTCGGTACGGCTGACTGCCAGAGTGGTTCCCTTGCTAACCTGAGTCTCTGTCGCTGTCGCTGCCTGTGTTTGCATGAAAGAAGTATCGGTTGGAACAACACCAGAGGCTGCAACCGTTCCTGTTGGCACCAAGACACCCAAGAGACCCTTGAACTCAATCCCTGGAAATATGTCCAGGTACTCAGGGTTGCTACCGTGAAAAGATATGTAAGTTGCGGTACCGTTAATGCCACAAAGCAAAAACACACTGTCTTGGCCTCCACCGTTCGCAGGATGAAGCGGTGCATAGCCTGTAAGGTCGTACACCTTCTCATAGATGGCGCTCCAACAGTCCGAGGGATCTGCATGCAGTTTGACATCATCCAATGTCACATATGTGACTTCTGTTGGAGAAGAAGTAGGTGAAGCTGAGATGGTGGGCTGAAGAGTAGTTGGCGAGGCTGTTGGCCCACTAGACGGTGAGCCAGATGGCGTGGAGCTGGGAGAAGACGACGGTACAGTGGTGGGGCTGTCGGAAGATTCTGTGGGCGACACAGAAGGGACTTTACTGGGTGTAACCGATGGAGTGAGAGATGGCATATCCGATGGCGAGATGGAGGGTGTATTGGTAGGACTTGGCGTTGGTGGATCCGTTGGACGCCGATCAACAGACAGCCCCTTGAATTCAATGCCTGGCAATTCATCGAGCCACTCCGGATGGGTGCGATGGAAACTCTCATACATTGAGGTTCCCTCGATCCCACACAACAGGTATACAGTTTCCCGGCCACCACCATTGCCTAAGATGCCGGGACAAGCGAGGTGTGAGCAGCCTGCTTCAGTGCGCAGTGATGGGCGTGCCACACACATTCTTTGACTTACCGGGATGGGTAGGGGCATAGAGAGAAAGATCGTAGACTTTTCCATAGATGGAACTCCAACAGGAGCTTTCTGTCGAATGCTGTCTCACATCAGCCATGGTGTAGTAGGTCATTATGGTTGGTGACGCGGTAGGAGAAGAGGAAGATGTGGGCTGGAGAGTGGTTGGTGAGACTGAAGGTACCGATGACGGATGCCCAGTGGGACCAAAAGATGGGTCGACAGAGGGAGACTCTGAAGGCGAAGTAGAAGGACCACTCGTCGGGACATCTGAAGGATCCAAGCTGGGAACGGCAGAGGGACTTACACTGGGAGTACCTGATGGGGTTGAAGATGGCCCGACTGAAGGTGAAGCAGACGGACCACTTGTGGGAACATCAGAGGGATCCACGGTAGGAACCACAGAGGGTTGACTGGAAGGGCTTGCACTTGGCGAAGCTGATGGGGATGTAGATGGCCCGACTGAAGGTGAAGCAGATGGACCACTTGTGGGAACATCAGATGGATCCACGGTAGGAACAACAGATGGGTGACTGGAAGGGCTTGCACTTGGCGACTCCGTGGGGCCCTCCGTGGGAGACACTGAGGGGGTCATTGTAGGAGCTTTGGTGGTGAGCGGCCCCTTGAATTCAATGCCTGCCAATGTATCGAGATACTGCGGATTATTGACATGGAAACTATTATACATTGAGGTGCCCTCAATCCCACACAACAGGTACACTGTATCGGCCTAAAAAATGATTAGGTAGAGTAGAAACATAATGTGAGCCAAGAAACAGAACGGTTGGTAAGAGAATCTGATGACAACAGTAAGAGCTCACCGAGCCACCGTTCCCGGGGTGATTGGGGGCATATGCCGTGAGGTTGTACACCTTGTCGTAGATGGCACTCCAACAATCATTGTTGGTGGCATGTAAGGCAACTTCTTCCAAAGTTACGGCTGTCGCTTGCTTGAAGGCTGGGATCACAAAGATCAACCAGGATGCTAATGTTCTCTTCATCATCATTGCTTGCTTTTCTGTAATGGCAATGCTGTAGTCGACAAACTAGGCCTTCGCTTCCAATGTTGCGATGATGGGTGAGGCGAAAGATTTTGCGAAGAAACATCATTTGTTTGGTCTCCGTCGGAAGGAAGGGGATAAAGAAACAAGGACCAAGATCGGAATTTCACTGGTACCGCATCTGTACTGAAAATCCACAGTAAAGCATTACAATAATAAAAAAGAAATAGACATTTGGGGCTTTGGATTGTGACTGTATCTAGTCTGGAACATGCAATGTGACATTGGATTGGGGGTGATGCCACACTGTAATTCTTCGCTTTGTTGACTCGGTCGTCGTGGGGGAAACTAGAAACGATGAGGGGGACACAGTTCGCTCACCTTTCTTATTTACGCAAGACTGATGGTGTTCGTATTGCTACCGGTCGCGGATCCTTTTTTTACTGGTACCTGTCAGTTGCTACCGGTACGGCAACTAAACCAACTGGAGGAAGATACTAGAATCCGTCGTGAAGCAGATATCTAGCTAGCCAGTGGGTTAGTAGCTGGCACTCAGCGGCCGAGGCAATCGTTCAAAATGTGGGAGATCTCGCTTTGGCTGCTACAGAGAATCCTTGTCAAACCCAGTCAACAAAACCCAAGAGGAACGCCACTTACAAGGATGATGACCGCAACGCGCTTGAATTAGTTTGGCCTTGCAACAGCGTACCAAGAAAGGGTCTCCCCCGATCCCACGGAACACGGTCCCATATCCACATATTCTTTGCCTAAGCCTGGGCCCTTCCTGGCATCCCTTGTGGTAGCTGCTAGCTAGCTAGCTAGCTAGAAAGACAGTGTGACTTGGTTCGAGAGCCCAATATAAGCCATTGGAGCTGTAAAGGACCCATAACTGTCACTAAATCGCAAAGCTAATTCAACCAAATGATTTCTAAAAATGAATTCAAGACAGGAACATCAGTCCCCTTCTCTTGCGAGGACGTCGTTGTCGGCTTGGTCGAATAGCCTTCCCCGTCTACTCGCTGTTCTCTTCTTGGGTCCAGAGAACTCATATACCTTTCCAGCAATCCTATAACAAGCTGGCAAACCATGAACCAAGCGAACCAGATTTGCCACGCTGCCTCTTGGCCGGAAGTGCAGCTCCCACAAACCGGGGGTCCACGACGAGACTTCTTGAAAACTATGACGAGCTTCCAACTCACCCACTAGCCAAAAGACTCCAATGATGTCCTTTACATTGAAAACTGAAGCCCATGGACCAAATTTGTACTCGCTTGTGGCACTGTATTCAAAAATGGAGCGCAGAAGAGTGCTTTCGGTTCCTCGCAAAATGGACAGCGGGGAGCCTGAATCCCTCGTCCCGTTCGCAAGCATTACCATCTCCTTCGTCAAACCGGAAGGTTTGGGAAGAACAACGTATTGGTCGTCTCCCTCGTGCCTTTGCGAGATCAGCCCCATGAGTGCTTTCGAGGCTTCGTCCGAGAGCTGTCCTAAATCTCCAACCGACTCTGGTCGTTGCGTGCACTCCAAGACTTGTGGGTTCAGCGAGCGACCCAGTTGATCCACAAGAACAAGTTTGCAGTAAAGCTTGGAAGCAGGCAGCCCCCCCGCCCATCGGGTGTATTTGCCCCACTGCAATGTCGCCTGATGCTCTGAACTTGAAGCAATCTCCTCCGCAAGACCCGTCAGCTTTTTGCGAAGGGCTTTGTCACTAAGATGGTTCGTAGAAGCACTATTACCCATGGTTGCCTGCTATTGGAATGTTGCCTTTGTGCTTGCTGTTGTTGTGTTGGGTGTTGTGGGCTTTGTGGAGCTCCCAGTCCAGCCTCGCAAGCACGTTTCGGAGAAGCCAGACACATTGGAAGCACGCAAGCACGGAAGCACTGTTACCGGTGCCCTCTCCATGCTTTCCTTGCACAAAACACTTCCTTGGGGGATGAAGAAGTCAAACAACCGAAAAGTTACCACAGAGTAAAGCCTATGTTTTAGCAGTTTTTTCAGTTTGTGAGTAAACTTACTTGGTTCAGACACTTCTTGCTAAAATCGTATGACTTCCAGAGAGTCAACACCCACCTGAAGCCCGAGCACTACACGTTCCAATCCAACGACTCAAGCTTCGTGATTCGCCCCGTCGCCTGACACCATTACTGATAGCTCCCTCCGTCTTCGAAAGAGTATCTTTCTAACGCTTACGCTACAGAGCATTTGATATAATCGTTCCAAGTCAAATCGCTACCGGCATGGACGGTACCGGTACTGTTGTCACCACCACCTCCGCTGCACTGTACCGGTACCGTACCTGGTACCAGGTACCTCTATCTCAAGTCGAGTTGCACCTCTACGGCGCTCCAGGTACCTCTGCATGGTTTAGGATTGATCATTCATGCGACCATGCAGTTCTGAGGTGATCGTTCCACCGTTGCATTGTCTTCCATCTTTCGTACACAACATGACTTTCGATACTAGTACTAGTAGCGTCTCTACCGACGAGACACGCGTCCTGGATCCGATCTCGTGGACTTTTCCATGTGGTTTCTTCTCTTGACACTGGCATTCTGTCGGAACGACCTTGATCTTTGGGGCTTTGCTACAGCATCTACGAGCCGCCTGGGTTCGAGGTCCGTTGAATCTGACTTCAGTGTCATGCGATACGGAGTGCTTTTCCGCTTGACCAAGAAGCTGAACTTGCCATGTTCACCGTCTCCGACACCTCTGGTGAGGCTGGGTGCTGCTTACGGGTACGCCAGCATTCGAGACGTTCCCCAAGATCATCACGTACGACTTCGAGACTGACACGGTCTTCCATCTGAAAGATGGCTTCGTTGCCACTGTTGAGAATGAGCTTGAACTTGGGTTCCATGTTGGCCTTTTTCGAAGCAGTCGAAGTAACTTGACGTTGTACAACCTTACTCCAGGGAAGCACACAGACCTTTTCCTCCGTGTGGAAGCTCAGTTGATTGTGAGAGAGTTTGAGTGTGCCAGAGCTGCGCTTGAAGACCACGGGTTCATAGACTGTTTCGGGGGTAGAGGTGACATTCATTGTTTTGCGATTCGATTCTTTGCTTCAGCTGCTTCTAGTAGAGTGATGCGTTCAAGTTGGTGTGGGAAGGCTTGGTTTTGCCAGACTATGGAGGAAACTGCTTCGTGATCGCGCTCTTTTGGTTGGGTTTCACAGATGTCAACAGCCTCCAGGTTTACCATGGAACTTCCTGAAGAGATTGGCAGCGAAGGACCATCTTACCAATTCAATCACATATCCATAATCAATGCCTCCTTTACAAAACCAAGTTGCCAAAGCCATTCCCACCAAGACCTTGCGATGAAGAGGGCACTTTGGCACAGCAATAAGATCCTACAGCGTACCACTCCCACACCTCCCTTGAAAAAAACAAGAGGGAATGACACCAGTCGCAGATACCGTTCAGTCATGCAACAAATAATGACTTCTTGGCACATGGAACTTGCTCAGTACGGTACTAAATAAGCTAATCACTTCTCTTTCTAAGTACATACAATTAAGCTTGCCAAAGGAAAGTCACTACTTAGTAGTACCAGGAACACTTTCTTTAGTTTTGCTACAGTGGTAATAACTTTTGTGGCCTTTTAGTTCGGGCTCAATGTTTCTCCGAGGTGTTTTTGAAAAAATTGCACGTTGCTGTTGGCAGGGAGTCTCAGCGCAAGTGGCAGCAGCAATACATTCATATAGTTGGAGCTGGGGTTGATTTCGTTAGTGGCTTTCCAACATGGTCAATGGGCAGTTTGCTCGTTCACCGTTGGAGGTTGGAGCTACCAAGCTACCGTAGCTGCCTGAGCAGCAAAAGGTATGTGTGAACAAAAATAACTTGACCGGATATGTCTTACGTTTCCACTTTCCCTCTCCGTGTGATAAATTGCGTCCAGGCCACAGCCCACCAGCAGCCAGCGATAGACTAATACTTTCTCTACGAACTCGAGCTCGAGCTCGATTTCGCACTCAGATATTAGTAGATCAGATAGATACTACATGTATCATGTATCAAAGTAGATTTACTTTCTGTTTTCGGATGGTGTGACTGAAATATTTACATGGATGTTCTCGCGGATTTATTGCTGAAGCTGCTGCAGCGTCGCCTATGCTTTGAAAAAAGAGTCGAGAGAGAAGGTTCGGTAGCCAGTGAGAAAGTCATTTAAATCACCGCTTGTCCTTCAAACCCTCATGCTTCGGATGGTAAGTTTGTGCTTAGCTTCCACGTTGTTCGTGGTGCATTTTTCACAGTCATTTTCCCCCTTCTGTGTCTGATCACTACAACTCAGTACAGTACTAATTTTACGAGAAGACAGTGCTAGCTACTAGCTACCGGTAGCTAGTAGTAGGCGCAAAGCTATTAAATTCGAGTACGAAGACAGAGTCATTAAAGGTTTGTAGTCTAGTCATTATTGTGGCGTTAAGCATCACTGCCAACAGCTGACTATGGTAGAACAGTACGTACTGGTACTGTTTCTGAACTGATCAGGTCGCTTGAATTGCTGCTGAAGATGGTGGCAGGTCGAGACCCACCTGTGCCAAAGCGAGAGGTTTAGCACTCTCTGATATGGGTCATTATTCTGGACCCACCCACTTTTCTGTCTCCTTTTGGTTACCCTGTCTTTCAATCAGTCTATCCATCTAGCTACTAGTAGAAAGATGAGTGATGCACCCAACCATGAGCGTCGTTCCATCATGTGGAAAGACGAGTTCGAGGCCCGGCCCAGTCGTCGAAACCTCTATGAGGGCATGTCCACGCGAGGCTTGACGCAAGTGAGAGAATTTGAAAAGATTGCCGAAGAAGAGGACGACGAAGATGGGGACGAGACCGGTCATCGTCGAGGACGACGAGTAGGCGTCTTGGGGAAGATTGCCGTGACGGCGGGAATGCGAGACTTTAGCCGTTCCTCCCACACGGGGGGCGACGACGACATGGACCTGGAGGCCATGCCCATGAATGACATGAGTATGAGCGAGGCCACGGACTGTATGCGTTTGATGAGTGATGAATCCATGGCGGAGAACAACATTCGTAGCTCGATGCGTCAAAGCATTTGGGATGCCACAGGAGGGGACATGGCCAACGAAACCTGTTGCTCGGCTTTTACTGCTTTTGTGTACATGGTATGGAGCTCGATCAAGAGATTCATCTACAAGATCTTTAGGTGCCGGGAAGAAGAGGATCAAGTGGATGCCTTTGATACTACCACGGACTTGTTGCGAGACAATACTGTGGATATGGATGATCTGGCGGGATTAGGCGAGATGTTGATGAAAGAAATGGCCGTCGAAGCGTCACAGTCCTGTGCGACTGCCATGGCGTCAGGGACTACCTCTAGTGCTGCTGCTGCTTCTACTGCTGCGACAAGTGCCACTGCTGCTTCAGCGTCTGCCACCATGACTGTGGCCAGTGCTGGGTAAGCGTACGGCGACTTGGTTATCCAGAGCGATTCCATTCTCTGCTGAATCCCCCCATTCTCACACACGTTTCGCTGCTGCAACCTCACGTATGTAGTGTCACCACCCAAGTTGGGGTGGCTGTTGGAACGGTCACAGCGGTTGCGGCGACGGCAGCTGTGGCAAGCAGCGGAATCTTGGTGGATACAACCACATCAGTCCATAGGTCTTCCTTCCAACCCTACCCTTGGATCCAACCCAATTGCTCGGGAGACGGTACGGGCCGCAGTGTTTTTGAAGTCAAACAGGGATATTTGGACTTGGTCATCAAGGATCTTACAGAGGAAATGCTTTATCAAGAAAAATCGGTGCTGGAAGACATGTTCGTGGAGGCATTCAACAACGTTACGGGTCGATGCGATGGGATGTATGAGAGAACCATGTTCAACGTTAGCCTGCTTCCGTCCTTCTACATCATGACGGATACAAAGAACAACACCATTGCGTCAACTCAATGGGTGGCATTACTATCGTGCAATGGATGCCCCGACTCGGAACCCATGTTCGCGGTCTTTGAGAGGGACATTGCCGGCAACAGCAACGAAAGCGCTGCCATCCACCACAGTTTCGGTAGTACTGCCGGAGCAAACTCCAGCGCCTGGGATCAGTTCTCGCTGCTGGCAGAAAATCAGACAGACTTGGTTCCTTGGTTGGTGCATGCGGAAGATATAGCCAACTTGACAAACGCAACCACGCCGCCCAATGGGCACAGTTGGAACAAAACTGAAACTAGTAAACACCACAACTCCACAGAGAATGACTACTATAGCCCAGACACTCTCAGCGCAGTGGCAAAGCACCAATCGAATCGATTTCAGCACAATCGACGCCTGCAGGAATATCTCATCATGGTGAACACAACAAACGCGACCAGCTTCAACAACACACAAAACCAGTCGACAATAAACGACGACGACCTAATCACGGTAAACGATTACTACGTCAATGCGCACAGGCTCTTTGAGATGTTCGTTGAAGAGCTCATGACTGCCATTTCACATAAGTACCCAGATCTGTCCAAGGAAGTGACCGTTGCCTACGGCGCAACTGTGCAAAGAGGGGACACTGGTTCTGAAAGAGTGGTGGATGAAATCCGACTGAGCAGAGAAGCATCATTCACGACCACAACCGAAGAGCCGTCAATGCTTCCAAGCCGAGAACCATCAAGTTCACCAAGTAACGAGCCCAGCGTTAGTCCATCAAACAAACCTTCTTTGCTTCCGTCGCTCATGCCCTCAACAACACCCTCGTTCCAACCCTCGCGCAAACCATCCCCGTCGCCAACAAGTGTCCCTACGCCGGAGCCAACTCAAGCTCCCACAAAAAGGGCCACTCAAACACCAACAACACAAAACCCGTCCAAAGAACCAACAACACTCAACCCATCGAAAGCACCAACGCAAAGCCCGGTTGTTTCATACCAATCAGCACAAGCACAAGTTCAAATCATTCAACCAACTCCAAGCCCAACCATCATACCCACCAAACATCCTACATCAAGCCCACCAACTCTATCTCCCAGCACACTCAACCCCACTCCAACCCCCAGGGCTATCACCAACGAGCCAACTCCAGTTCCTACTAAAGGACCAACCTTTGAACCAACACCTCCACCCACTGCAGACCCTACATTTGAACCAACACCCGAACCAACTCCGGAGCCTACGGCTGAACCAACACCATCACCCACATTTGAACCAACCAATACAACGACTTCAATGCCGACCCCAGCTCCCACTTTTGGGCCAACATCACCCCCTACAGAAGCACCTACAGAGCCACCAACGGTACCTCCAACGGATCCTCCAACAGAGCCCCCAACAGATCCACCCACAAATCCTCCAACAGATCCACCTACTGAGCCCCCAACTGAAGCACCAACAATTGAGGCATGCAATGCAGCCTTTACTTCGTATGATCAGATCTACTTTGTGGCTTTTCAAGGAGACATCCAGATGCTGCAGGACAATCAAGTGACTGCTGCTTTTCAAACTGCCTACAAAGATTTGGGCCCAGGTGTTTGTGACCCAATTGTAGTTGGTGTTGCTGTGGTAGGCAGATATACTGGGCGCCGCCTGCAACAACTCACTCCGCAGATTGGGCTGAGATTACAAACACAGCAGACAAGTCCAGGACTGCCTTTGCCAGCGGGTGCAGACACAAATGCACTTATCTCGGGCATGAATACACATCTCCAAGGACCAACTATTCTTGGATTTAGCAATGTACTTCAAACCAGGAGCCCTACTGTAGCACCGACAAAAGCCCCAACCAAGGCTCCTACGAGCCCTCCTACTGCGACTCCATCAAAAGGTCCCTCACAGGCGCCTTCTCAGCAACCCTCTCGAGCGTCACAGTCGCCTTCACAATCTCAGCAGCCCTCAACATCACTTTCCCAGCAGCCCTCAACGTCATC